ATATGCATATAAAAGTTGAACAGTAAATAAAGAAAACCATAGAATAATTGATGCATTTTAGTTACAGTGCTTGAGGAAAATATTTAAAGTACTATGGACTGCCAAAAAAAAAAAACAATCTGTGTTAGAAGTATAGCCAGAATGCTCCTTGGAATCCAGGTTGACCAGACATCGTCTCTCATACATCAGATATATTATCAGGAAGGATCAGTCCCTGGAGAAGGATATCATGTTTAGTAAAGTGGAGGGTCAGGGAAATAAAGGAAAACTGACAATGAGATGGACTGGCAGAGTGGCAGCAGCAATGGGCTCAAATGTAGCAACGATTGTGAAACTGGTGCAGGACCGGGCAGTGTTTCATTTTGTTGTGCATAGGGTCGCTATGAACCGGTATAGACTCGATGACACCTAACAGCAACAACAACAACAATATAATCGATACTGTTAAATTTTTTTTAAAGAATAAAGAAATTGCTCATCCAGTTGCCATTCCTGTTTCAATAGCCAAAAGCTACTGGAATCACTGCATAGGGAACAGGCTCATTCTGTCATTACTTATCCTTCTCAGCATACACTCCACCACATTCTTCTTTAGAAGTTACTGTATAAATAGGTATTAAATTCTCAGGTCACCCCTTAAATACTTAACTCTTACTTAAAATATTATTTCTAAGGTAAAGGTCTGGTAAGTTGCAACAGATCCACAGGATGTCTTCCCCCTGTCATACTCCACACCAGGGATGTCCCTTCCTTCCCCAGCAGTGAAAAGGTACAATACCAAAGGTAACATGAAATGTCTTCCTCCAGCATGTCTGAATCCCCATCATGATCTCAATTATGAACTGAAAGTTAAAAGATGGCTGTTCCCATGGAAGGTGGAAACAGACAGGAGTTAAAAAGAGAAGCAGTTCACTAGGCCACTCTTCCATGGCTCCACCAGGTGGGTTCAAACTGCCAATCTTTAACTTATCAGCCACTAATAATGCAAACCCTTTGCACCACCCAGGCTCCTAAAAAGCAGGTAGTAACATTTTTCACATATACATTCAAGTAAAAAGCCAAGGAGGGCTTTTACTAGTCACACTACCATCGCTATTTTCAACTTAAAAAAGAAGTTTTCTGTGAACTAGTATTAGATTTCTGTGACTCTAATACTATATTGCTCCTCCAAACAAATTTGAAAATAACCCACTTATAAATTGAAAATTACTTATATTCATCAAGACTCTCTAAAAGCTATTTCTCCCTACCTTTCTAAAACTAAAATTTTAGGATTTTAGGAAAAGAGAAGTGAAGGCGCTGATTCCTTTCCATTGCATATGCATAAAAATACCTTGGTACATGGAGTACACAAATCAGTGGAAATATACATAAATGCTTTGGAATGCTAACATAGAAATCATTTTGTTTAGGATGATAATACAGAAATCATCCTCATCTGTAAGTGGATGCTTCAGTAATCCTCTTTTTTAGAGAAAGAGCTCTGGAAATATGTTTAGATTTTTGGAATTGTGGTGACTTGTTTCCCTTTTCTATTACTAGAGATTTTCCATATGGCAATAAACAGTTCTTTCATGGTATGTGCTGTGCATACCCATATTTTCCTGTGTTGATCAGTGAAAACAGTCCAGCGCTCTTCTACAATGCAGATGAGAAAGCATATTCATTAAAGGTACAGTCTGGTGTGTGATTTAGCAGCAATTATGCAGAATCTTATAAAAACAAGGGGGTTCAAAAAGTTCCTAGTATTCTTAACTTTAGACTCAGTGATTTAATGGTTTCAATTTGATGTAAGAAAACAATCAAAGACTCATTTATTAATTTATTTAACAAATTTCCAAGGACTTACGTTGTACCTGGCAATATTCTTATGACTAAGGACATTTATCAATTATTTGGAATGAACACAGAAAACTGAAGAATTGATGCCTCTGAATTACAGTGTTAATAAAAAATCTGAAAAAAAAATAAATGTCTACTATAAGAGTTAACAAATTAAAATACAATCAAAGGGTAAAATACTATACCACCACTAGATAATGCTCCTGACATTAAGCATTAAGAAAATGCTGACAAGCTAAGCAAAAAAAGAAGAAGAAGAAAAGAGAAACAAGATCTAAACGATATATAACTAACTATAAGAGAAGTCTTCAAATGTTCATGGAAAATTTCTATTATCTTGAAATTCCATTTTTCCAGGAACTTTTGAAGTCCCTCATATCTATGATCTCAAATCTGTATTTGAGATCTTTTTAGACAGGGAGCTTGGTCTAGTTACTTAATCTCACCGTACTTCAGTATAGTGAAGATTTTACATTTTACATGTGAAATAAGGAATCTAGTATGCTGCTGTAAGATATGCACTGGACTGCACAGTTGGTTTGAACTGCAAAGTCAGCAGTTCAAACTCACCAGTCACTCCTCTGAAACCCTATATAGGATCACTATGAGTCGAAACCAACTCAATGGCACTTAATAACAACATGTGAAATAAAGATTTTACATTTGTATTTGAAATAGGGTTCTATATGTGAAGTGAAACTACATATTCCATGTTAAATAAAAATTTGCAAAATAAAAATTTTCAATCTCAATGAATTTGTCATATGAGTTATTTGCAAAGTGCTTTAATACCTCACTTTCTACATGGGGCTCAGGTGAAAGATACAGCTTTCAGCAAAGATTTCAAGCCTCAGAAACCCTATACAGCGCCGCTATGAGTCAGAATGACTTGATGGCATTTAACAATAATATGTGGAGTTGGCATGAATCAGAATCAACTCCTTAGCAACTAGTTTCTGTTTGTCCCCCATGCATTTAGTACTAGGTACCTTTTCACTTATTATTATTGCACAAATACATATGTTGTTGCTGATAGGTGCTGTCAAGTTGGTTCCAACTCTTAGCGACCCTGTACTGTTTCTGAGGAGTGACTGGTGGGTTTGCACTGCTGACCTTCTAGTTAACAGTCCAGTGCTTATCCTACAGTGCCACATCAGAACTCCACATATACGTATATACATCTATAAATTAAAATTTGAATATATCAAAATATTATCAAAGATGCTAAGTTCTAACAAAATTGATTCTGCAGCAATCAGGGAGTTTGAACAATGACTGAATATTTTGTTATTGTTGTTAAGTGCCATCAAGTGACTCATAGTGAACCTGTGTAGGGTTTCTGAGGAATGCCTGGTGGATTTGAACTGCCAACCTTGTGGTTAGTAACCAAGTGCTTATCCTACACGGGAGTCACCACACTAGGACTCCGACTATTTATTGGAAGACAATAAAAAATTATTTTATAAAGTATGATTGCATTTTTTTAAAGTTATTATAGCATAGAAATATACAGTGATGTGGTGGTGGCTGTGTGCCATTGAGTAAGTGCTGACTCATAGCGACCCTGTATAGGGTTTCCACGGCTTTAAGTCTTTACGGGAACAGAAAGCTGCATCCTTCTCCCACAGAGCTTCTGGTAGATTCAAACTGCTGACATTGCCATTAACAGCCAAGCATGTAAACCACTATGCTACCAAGGTTCCTTAAATAGTGAAGTACTTATGGATAAAATGATATAATGTCTAAGAGCTGCTTTTAGATACTTTATTGACTGTTGTTGTTTGTAAGTGTCATCAAGTCGGTTCCAACTCACAGCAACCTTGTATAGGGTATGCAAGAAGTGGCTGGTGAGTTTGAACCACCGACCTTGTGGTTCAAACTAACTTTGCAGTCCAGTGCATTAGTCTACAACACCACACCGGGACTCCTTAGATACTTTAGTGAAGGATATATGTAGGGCGGTTTTTTTTAATTTAATATTAACAGAGGCAAATTAGCTTTGGAAATGGAATTATTATGAGCTTTTTTGTTAAAATTTATAAACTTTCTAATTGATCCAAAATTATTTTTTAAATAAGAAAAAGTATGTTTTTTCAATTTTAAGAAAATGCTTACCAACACTCCATCCACAGATGAAACTTTCTCCCAAGTTAACCAGGCTCTTTCTCTGACATGATCTGGTATCTTTAATTTCTGACACAATGCAACAAAGTCAGGTTCTTCAGCTTCTCCAAACTCAAGTCTATCAAATGAAAATTAAAAAAAAAAAAAAAAACATTTACACATACAATGCTTACATAGTTATTAATCAAACTGGTAAGTACAGCATTTGCCTCACTAATTTGCACATAACAGCAGTATCCTGAAAGAAAGCATCACTAAGTACTTTGAGAAATTATTTTATCACTGAAAAAAATTACACTTAGAATTTAAACATATGCTTATCTTATTTCTTAACTTCCAAAATAAGGATACCACACAATGAATACTGCTTGATGCCATTTGTTGTTGTTGTTAAGTGCCGTTGAGTCGGTTCTGACCCATAGCGACCCTGTACAGGGTTTCCCAGAGTGTGAGAGTATAAATCTTTACGAGAGTAGAAAACCTTATCTTTCTCCCGCAGAGCGGCTGGTAGTTTCGAACCGCTGACCTTAAGGTTCGCAGCCCGATTCGTAACCACTACGCTACTGCCATAGTGAATCTCATATACTTCAGAGAAGTAAATTAACTTTGCAAAAGTAGTTCAAGAGTTACAGCTGTTGGGGCTTTATTGGGATAATAATAATGATGAAAAGAATCAATTCAATGTTAATGACTTGTGACAATGCAGTCTATACTTTGGTGCTGTAAGATAAGCATTGGACTGCTCACCACAAGGATAGCAGTTCAAACCCACCAGTTGCTCCTCGGAAACCCTATACAGTGTCACTATGAGTTGGAACCGACTTAGCAGTACTTAACATCAATAATACTAATTAATACTTCATATAAATTATTGCTAAGCTTATTTCATCCCGTTCCTTAATCTCTCTTAACAAAGACAGGCAATACATTCTGGTTGGCTAATTCTTTTTTATTCATTTAATTATATTTAGCTCCTAATAATAATAATAGTTGAAGCTAAACAGTCCCCAGCTTATAGTTGAGTTCCACTCTGATGCCTAGGCCATAAATCGGCCTGATTAACTCGGATACCTCCTTTTTTTCGTTTTCATTATTATCAGTATCTTTATAAATGCAATCTTTTAACATCTGCTAGTGAACATCTGAGAATGATACTGTTGTTGTTAGGTGCCACTGAGTTGGTTCTGACTCATAGTGAGCCATGTACACAAAACACTGCCCAGTTTGTGCCATCCAGACAATGCTTGCACTGTTTCAGTCCATTGTTGTAGCCACTGTGTCAATGCATTTCATTGAGGGACTTCTTTTTCACTGACCCTTACTATCCCAAGCATGGTGTTCCTCTCTAGAAACCAGTCCCTATTGATAACATTTACAAAGTAATGAGATGAAGTCTAGCCACCCTTGTTTCTAAGAAGCATTCTGGCTGTACTTTTTCCAAGACAAATTTTTTGTTCTTCTGGCAATCCATGGCAATTCATCAACACCATAAATAAAAAGAATCAATTCTTCAGTCTTCCTTAGTCAATGTTCAGCTTTCACATGCATAGGAGGCAATTGAAAATATCACAGCTTGGTTCAAGTGCACCTTAGTCCTAAAAATGACATCTTTGTTTATCGCTTCAAAGCAGCAGATGTGCCCAGTGCAATACGTCATTTGATTTCTTGACTGTAGCTTCCACGGGCATTGATTGTTGAGTCCAAGTAAACTGACACCCTTGTTAACTTCAATCTTTTCTACATTCATCATGTTACTTATTGGTTCAGTTATGAGAATGTTGTTTTCTTTATGTTGAGTTGTAACCCCTACTGAAGATAGTAGTCTTAGTTCTTCATCAGTAAAAGCTTCAAGTCCTTTTCACTTCCAGGAAGCTAGACTGTGTCATCTGCATATCACAGGTTGTTAATGAACCTTCTTTCAATACTTACATTGCATTCTTCTTCATATAGTCCAATTTCTTAGATTATTGGCTCAACATACAGACTGAATAAGTATGTTAAGATGATACAACCCTGTGCATACTTTTCCTCATTTAAAACACACAGTAACCCCTGTGTGGCGCTGTGGGTTAATGTGCTGGACTGCAAGGTTGGTTTGATCTGCAAAGTCAGTGGTTCAAGCTCACCATCTGCTCCTCGGAAACCCTATACAGGGTTGCTATGAGTCGGAACCAACTCAACAGCACTTAACAACAACAACAACCCCTTGTTATGCTAGAACAACTGCCTTTTGGTCTATATACAGATTCCATATAAGCACAACTAAGTGTTTTGGAATTCTCATTCTTCAAAATGTTATCCATAATTTGTTATGATCCACACAATCAAATGCCTTTGCAGAGTCATTACATGCTGCCACACCAAATATAGTACAGATCACTAACAATTAAGATGTACGAAAAGGAAAATAAAACAACTAAGTATGGTTCATCATAACTCAAACACATGATAAATTAGGAGCTACCTGTATTTACTATGACCCTGTAGAAAATCTTTAGGTTGATGCTTTCACCGAATTTCCACATCAACCTTATTATCATCCTTATTTTACAGAAGAAACCAAATCATAAAAGTTAAAGCACTCACCTGAGGTCACAGCCAGTAGTAAACTATAAGCCAGGATATGAATCCAATACCCTAACTCACTGATCTATGCCCTTAACCACTTTGTATACGACTCCTACTTCTTTTTCAAAATGTAATTAACTATTGATTACCTCAACAATGTTGTTCCTAGTGATAGTTTCCCTTCCAACCACTTCATTTAAGACAGAGATAATACAACAGAAATGTGATCTTAACTCTCAGGTTAGAATTGAGCTCTCCCAGGGAATGCAGTTGAAGCAGGCACTGAATCCAGCTCTAAGGCTTACTCAGCCTCAGATTGACAGGCTGTAGTTACAAGCAGTTTAGATCATCTAGAGAGTGTGATTGTTCATGCTAATGAAATCATGTGTGGGTACGGAAACGCAAGAACAGACTGTATTTTGTGTGGTTTTACAGTATAAGGATTTAACTTCCATGAGAATTTTTGATAGCTCTATCATTTAAAAGGGAGTCCTGGTGTGGTACTGCGGTTTAATGCACTGGACTGCAAAGTCAGTTTGAACCACAAAGTCAGCAATTCAAGCTCACCAGTTGTTCCTCAGAAACCCTATATAGGGTCGCTATGAGTCAGAACCAACTTGAAGGCACTTACTAACAACATCATTTAAAGTTATATAAAATAATGTGCTGGGGTGGGGGTTAAAAGAAACCATTTTTCTTTTCCTAAGTGATGGTCAGAACTTAAGAAATTCTAGTTACCACATAATCAAGAATGCTTTCAAAGTTATACTGAAAACATTCAATTCTTTAGAGCAAATAGTCCTGGTTTTTCACCAAAGGAAAGTTTTGAAGTATTGTACACATTAGAGTTTAGTCAAAAAGTAAATTGTGATGTCTCCTTCAAACATCCAGACCTGTTTTTTATTTTTTTTTGTATTAACTCGTTGCTGTCAAGTTAATCCTCTGACTCATGACAATTCCATGTGTGTCAGAATAGCAAGAGTTTTCAATGCCGGGTCTTTCTTCCAAAGTTGGAACTCAAACCTTCAATCTTCTTGTTAGTAACCAAATGTGTAACTGTTTGTACCACCCAAGAATTTTTAATTTTTGCTGCTGTTGAATACATCGAGTCATTCCTGACTCATTGTGACTGCTGGGATTTCCAAGGAGCGGCTGGTGGGGTTAAAGCACTGGCCATTCAGTTCAAACTGACCTTGCAATCCGGTGCTTATCCTACAGTGCCACACCAGGACTTTTCGTTGATCCATAAGACAGTTCATTCAAATATATGAATTTTCAATATTTAAATTCTTTTTTTTTTTTTTGGAAATGGCCACAGAACAGGGTAAGGACTGGTGCGGAAAGAAACCATTCCCATCTCCAGCAGTGAGTCTGTACCGTCACGGTACAACCAGTGCTAACAATAAGGAATAAAGCATGCACTTTTCCATCTTGGCTACTCAACCACAAAGTATTGCAATCAAGAAAAACAAAATGTTGCAATGCAATAAATATCTCCTTGAAACCGTCTACTGAATCCACATGGCCTTGCTTAAATTTTGATTTCACTTGGGGTGAACGCAAGAGCATCCCTAGTTTATTTTTATGCAAAACAAAACAAAGAAACACGGCACACCAAGATCCCTGATCACGCCAAAAAATCAAAATGTTAAAAATAGGGGCATGCTAAGGAACTAACCTGCCAGAAGAGTTTTATCCAAAAGGGAAGAAATAAATAAAAGTTTAGAAACAAAGTGCAGCAAAAGTTTTAGCGCAGTGCTTCCCACCACTTTGGCTACAGCGAAGCGTTCCGTTCCTCCAGCCACTACAGCTGGCTCTGAACCCGCAAGGTCTCAAAACACCCAGTGGGCAACTGGCACCCTGGACGATGCGCTAAAGTGGGCCAGCGTCTCCCGAAGCTGCGGCCTCTCGCAGGACCTGCCGGCCTTCAGTTGCCGTCACATCAGAGGAAAATACTTGGAAGCCTGGCGTCGCCGAAGACCAAAACAGAAAGCCAGCCAACCATTTGAGTACTACCAAGCTCAACGGGAACAAAACTCGCGTCCCCTCCCACGCATGCCCGTCAGTCATTTTTTTGTATTTGATGGAAGTCGAACTGACCGGCCGCCACCGCGCCTCGGATCTCGCACCTGTCACTTCGCTCAGCGACCCGAGCCCCACCCGCCCGGCACCTGTCAACCTGGAGCCGAGACCCCTCCCGGCTATCCTCCCCTAGCTCCCGGTCCCAGAACCCTGTCACCCTCCTCCCAACCCTTCCCGGTGGTGGAGGGCAGGGAGGGACCCTCTTCCGCCAGGACCCAGGACCCTGGGACCCGGGTAAAGGCGCGCCCCCGCCTAAACGCCGCGGTGCTCGCCCCGGTGCCCCTCAGGCGCCCTTTCTGCGTTCGCGCCGCCGCGGCGGCTCTGCTCACTCACCTGACCAGAGGCAGGTCCTCTGGGCCACTGTCCTGCTCCGGATCCTCCTCCGGAGGAGACGGTGGTGGCGGCGGCGGCGGCGGCTGAGGCGCCGGGGGTTCCACAGAGGCGGCGGCGGTAGCGGCCGCTTTTCGGGGGTTTTTGGGTGGCATGACGCCCTCACAGGATGGGAGCTAGCGAGTTGTGGAAGAGGGTAGGGGCGGGGGACGTGCGCACACGTCGGGGCACGCCCCGTCCACTCTTGACTCCCGTTACAAAAATAATTTGAACGTCCCCTGAGAAAAACCGGACAAGCCCTCCCCCGCCCGGCAACCGAGCGCCGCGTCCAACCGCGGGAAAACGTCACTTCCGCCCGCGGCGTCACGTCCGCGAGGGTCCCGGGCCCGCCGGCGTCTGGCGGGCACCCGGGAGCCGGGCAGCGCGGGCGGGGACGCCAGGACGAGCGCGCCGGGCGTGGAGGCCGGGCTTGGCTGAGCGCCCTCCCGGAGGCAGCCGTCGTTGTTTGGACCTGTTTCTACCCGTAACTCTTTTCGGGCTGGAGTTCCCGGAACAGGCTTTCAAAAACCAGTCTTGGGACGAGGGGAAGTGAAATGGGGCTTTTTATCTAAGGGTCTGATCAGGGACTGTCTGACACTCAGGTCCTGTAAATTATATCTGGCAAGTGCACTCGAGGCCTTCACGGCCCATATCTTTCCATGGGTGGTTCCCTTCCTCTCCCCTCGACCTCTCTCGCCCAATCGGTTAAGCCAGTCTACCAAAACTAAAACAGACCATTACCCCTTCAACAAACATTTATGGAACACTTAATTGGTGCTGAACTTTACTAATCACTGAAGGATACACAGTGCAGGATAATTATTGGTCTTTGGGGGACTCACTGGTTAGGGAAGTAAAGGGGGCTGTGGATAATGAACAACCGTGGTAAATGTCTTCTTAAAAATAAAATCTTGGATTAACTCAAAAGAATACACAATACCGGTTTCCCCCTGTTAAGAGGTCCTCAGAAACCCACCATAAAACGAAATGGCCATAAAGAGAGCAATTACCATTAATTTACATGAGAAAAGTTTTTAATGTTACCCAAAACCCACTGAACCCACTGCCATCAGATAGTAGATTTCGATCATTATCAGACTAAAAAAAAAACACAAACAACAACAACTAGAAAAGCATACTAAATAACATAAACCTAAAATAACACTAACATATAATGTTCACAGACAAGTTTAAAGCTCTGGCGACTTGCTGAGATGCTCAGTGTGGCTCCCAGGGAAGGTGCTTCGCACTGCGTCCAGAGTACAGCTGCCTCTTCAATAGCTCCCTGAAAAATAAATGTTGAATGCTAGTTTCATTTTTTGCCATTTTTCCTAAAAGCAAAAAAAAAAGATTTATTTCAATTAACATACACAGGTACTAATGTAGCTCTTTCAAAGTGGCGCAAAGCAAACTTTTGAAAAACGGGGGATATCTATATTTGATAGGTCTAAGATTTAATAAACAATTTTCAAGTTGGGGCAACATTTCCTTCCAGCAAAAAGAAATTCTCAGGGGATGGGAAATTCCCAGAAACTTGAAAAAATAAATAAATTTTGCTTAATGAATACATTTCCATGGTGATGAGTTACTGAGTTAACAATACATCTGTAGTTATGAGACCTCTTGAAATTAAAATTAAGGAAGCACACAGCCTTTTTCCTTAAATCACAAGGTAATAGATTTACTAGCTAGTCTCTTTGATCTGGGGGGAACAAAGTTTAACCATGAACTTCAAGGTTTGAACTTCAAGGTCGGCAGCTCAAGCTCCATCCGCTCCTTGGAGACCCTATACAGGGTTACTATGGATCGGAACCAACTCAGGGACACTCAACAACAACATGAAGTTGAAGAGCAATTTGGGGTGAAAAAGCAAGCCAGTGAAGCTGTAGGCAAGATTAGTTTGGGGTCAGATATTTTTTATATTTGTAGGTAAGAGAAAGTTCTTAAAACCAAAGTAAAATGTCCAACTTTAGTTTCTGTTTTTCAGTCTTAATAGTGGTGCTATACCACGTTGTTGTTGTTGCTATGTGCTGGTGAGTCAGTTCCAACTCACAGCAACCCTATATAGGGTTTCTGAGGAGTTGCTGATAGGTTTGAACTGCCAGTCTTGTGGTTGACAGTCCAATGCTTATCCTACAGTGCCATGCCAGTACTTTGTTAAGGACCTTCGGAATGTGTAAGGAGCTCTTGAGAGGAGTAGTAGTTGAAAGGAAGTTGGCCAGCTTGACCTGACATTTAAGGTGGTGGTGATATAAATTCCCACTCATAGTGACCCTGTGTAGGGTTCCAAGGGTGTAATTCTTACAGGAGCAGAATGCCTCATCTTTCTCCCACAAAGTCGCTGGTGGATTTGAACTGCTGACCTTTCCGGGAACAGTCCAACACATAACCCACTATGCTACCAAGGCTTTTTAACATTTTAAGGAGAGCTAACTATATTCCAGGGACTGTGCTGGTCACATTATATAATTATTTAATCCTAGGAAACAACCTTTAAAAATAGGAGATGACAAAATGGGGGATTAGGCAGAAAGGCTGTACAGATCCTCTACAACAAAAATACAGAAACCAAAATGAAACAGATGCAGATGATAGTCCTGAAACACTGAGCTTCAGATGAAGAGAGAAAAAAGTGCATTGAATGCTTACTAGGCGAGAAAACTGACCAGACATGACAAAAAAAGTGACAGACTGGTGACCTATACCAGCCAACCAGACACAACATGGCCTTATTAAGCTTTTGTGAACAGCTTCAGAGACAAAACATATTGGCGTTGTAGAAACATAGCAGTGGCTCTCAAAGATAAAGGTGCTATTTTTTTCTTGTTCCCCACACTCCTCTAGTGGCCAAGGGCGTGGTCAGCCCCCAACCACCTACACCTGCAGGGAAACTGGCCCTTCCTACATTCGAAGCCACACAGAGTGGGGAGCTATCTGTATTAATCCCATCAGGGCAGACCCTGCTCCAAATTGGCAGAGCCAGGCCTGGCCAGCCCTTGACTAGCCCTCATTAGGAGTAGCAGCCAAGCAGACAGGTTGTTGTTGTTGTTAAGAGCCAGCAAGTCAGTTCTGACTCATACCAACCCTGTACAGGGTTTCCTAGGAGCGGCTGGTGAGCTTGAATCACAGACTGTGTGGTTCAAACTGACTTTGAAATCCGTTGCATTAACTCACAGCACTATACATAGGAGGATGGGGGAAAAAAAGGTGACTGGTGATTTATGCTGGCTGGGCAGGTACAGCATAACCATTTTGAACTTCATGGGTGGCTGTGTAGGCAAAAGGGTGCTTGGTGCAGAAGCATACCATGTATTGGTGGAGAGAAAGGTGTGAAATTTATTCTTGTACATTATGCTGGTAACCGCAGTTGTTGTTGAACCCTACCTGCGTACACTCCCAGGGAAGCGCCTACTCTCTGAGTAGCTGGAGTCACATCACTGGCAGTGAGGAGCTAACAGAACCAACCCTGGCACCTAGAATCAGGTATACCCTATTCCAGATCTACAGAGCTGGTTCTCGCCAGCTGTGGACTAACAGGACCTCTCACCCTTGACTGCCCTCTGGACCAGAAACACCCTGATCTCCCAGCTGCATGAGCTGATTTCAGATTGGGTGCCCAGGACACCTAGCCCTACAGGAACACTCAATCTAGGGTCAAGAGTGTTACTGTCTCATCTCTAACCCACCCACAATGTAAGGTCCTTGGCTGGCAGGAGACCCCAGAGTTTTCTCCTCACAGGTAGTCTGGTACCTGCTCTGGTTTCTTCCTTTCATTGTAGTTTATTCTTTCTTCCTCTCCCTTGCTTTCTATCCTTTCTATCTCCACTTTCATTTTTTCTTGTTTTTGTCTGCTTCTCTTTCCCAATTGCTGCTTCTTTCTTCCCCTCTTTTTTTTTTTTTACTACTCTCTAGTCTCTTTCCCTTTTGCTCATTCCTATCCCTAATTGTGTTTAGTTATTTTTCTTTCTATTTTCTCTCTCTTACTTTTCTCTTTTTTGTTTTCCTCTCCCTCTTTTCTCTCTTTGGTTCTTGTATTCTTTTTTCATACTATTGCCTGCTTTTTTCTTTTCTTTTCTTTTCTTTTTTTCCCTGCTGTTTGCTTGTTTATTTCTCTCTAGTCTGTATTTTCTCTTCTTACCTTCCAGCCACAATCATACTGTCTATAGTCCCACCCACTGGACAAGAGCCAATACTAGCTGCTATACATTGAATCAACTACAACAACCTACAGCGACAAAATCCATCCTAAACTGAACGGCACATAAAGCAAACAGAACAGTGCACACACTTATCCCCTAATCTCACCCACCAGGAGGCACTTGGTGAATGCCTAAGAATACACCAACATGCAATCATCAAAGTAATACACACCCAACACCACCACAATGTCTCAAAAGCAGCAGAAAATTCTGGTCACATGAAGAAATAAGACACTGTGACTCAAACAAATACCCATGAGGCAGAGCTAGAAAATATTTCTGAGAAAGAAAAGGAGTTGGAATTACCTGAAAAAGAATACAAGAGAATGCTATTTAGGCATCTTAAAATGATTAACAGAAATGTCAAGGAAAATAAGAAAGAATTCAGGAAATCACTACGAGGAACAATCAAATCAAATAAAAAAGGGATAACAGACCACAGAAACCCTGCAAATAGAAATCCAGAAGACTGATACTAAGATTTCGGAAATGGACAATATATTGAAAGGACAAAGGAGTATATTTGAAGCAATGGAAGCCCAAATTAGTGAGCTTGAAGAGAAATCTCTCAATACTAGTAAGCTAGATGAACAATCAGGAAAAAATGTACAGAAAGCCAAAGATTCATGTGGGACATGAAGAGGAATAACCTAATAGGTGGTGAGAATTCCAGAACAGGAAGAGAAAAAGAAACCCGCAGAAAAAATAGTCAGCTGTTGGAAGAAAATAACTAACATTATGAAAGACAAGAAGATAAGCATTCAAGAAGCTGAATAAACCCCAAACAGGATAGAGCCCAAAGGAAAACCAACAAGGCATATCATAATCAAAGTCTCCAAACAAAGACAAAGAAATAATCCAGAGGGTAGTTCAGGAAAAACAAAGTTACTGTCTTAATGGCTCTAGAGTTTTGAACACTGTTGAGAGAGTCACAGATCCAGTTCTACATGGTCACCTGGATTGACAGTCACGATGACTGTCCACTCCCTGGAGGACTTGGACACCTTCAAGTATAGTGACCTGCAGAATTTAGCCAAGAACCTGGGCCTCCGGACTAACCTAAGGGCAGATAAGTTGTTAAAAGCCTTGAAAGCTCAACTTCAA